TAGTCCCGGTCGGGGCGCCAGATTCTGTCCCGGTTGCCCCTGTTCCAGGCCAGCTCTCTGCTGTGGCCCGGGAGTGCAGTGGAGGATGGCCCAGGTGCTTGGGCCCTGCACCCCATGGGAGACCAGGATAAGTACCTGGCTCCTGCCATCGGATCAGCGCGGTGCGCCGGCCGTGGCGGCCATTGGAGGGTGAACCAACGGCAAAGGAAGACCTTTCTGTCTTTCTCTCTCTCTCACTGTGTACCCTGTCAAAAAAAAAAAAAGAGAGAGAGATCTTTATCTTCTACAAGTGAATGATAGCACAAGTGGATGATAGCTTTACTTCTTCCTTTCCATCTGAATGCCTTTTCTTTGTTTCTCTTGCCTAATTGCTCGGCCTGAAACTTCCAGTGCATGTTAAATAGAAATGGCAAGGGCAGACAGCCTTTTCTTAGTCCTGTTTTTAAAGGGAACACATTTAATCCTTCACCATTAAATACGATGCTAGCTTTGGATTTGTGGTACAAGTCCTTTACCAGGTTGAGGAAATTGCCTCCTATTCCTACTTTGTTGAGTGGTTTTTTTTGTTTTTTTTTGTTGTTGTTGTTTGTTTGTTTGTTTGTTTTTTTGACAGGCAGAGTGGACAGTGAGAGAGAGAGACAGAGAAAAAGGTCTTCCTTTGCCGTTGGTTCACCCTCCAATGGCCGCTGCGGCCGGCGCACCACGCTGATCCGATGGCAGGAGCCAGGTGCTTCTCCTGGTCTCCCATGGGGTGCAGGGCCCAAGGACTTGGGCCATCCTCTACTGTACTCCCTGGCCATAGCAGAGAGCTGGCCTGGAAGAGGGGCAACCGGGACAGAATCCAGCGCTCCAACCGGGACTAGAACCCGGTGTGCCGGCGCCACAAGGCGGAGGATTAGCCTAGTGAGCCGCAGCGCTGGCTCTGAGTGGATTTTTTTTAATATTTATTTATTTGAGAAGCAGAGTTAGAGAGAGAGAGAGAGAGGTCTTCTGTCCACTGGTTCACTCCTCCAAATGGCCACAGTGGCCGAAGCTGGGCCAATCCGAAGCCAGAAGCTTCCTCAGGGTCTCCCACGTGGATGCAGGGGCCCAAGCACTTGGGCTGTCTGCAACTGCTTTCCCAGGCACATTAGCAGGGAGCCAATGGGAAGTGGAGCAGCCAGGATGCAAAGTGGAGCAGCCAGGACCTGAACTGGCATCCATATGGGATGCTGGCCCTGCAGGCAGAGGCTTAGCCTACTAGTACGCCACACTGCCAGCCCCTGTTGACTGGATTTTCTAAATATTTTTCAGTGTCTGTTGAAGTAATTTTGTGGTTTTTGTCCTTCATTCTGTTGCTCTGGTATATTATATTTATTGATTTTCTGATGTTAAACATTGCATTGCTCTGATAAATCTCACTTGGCCATGGTGTACAAGGGTACTGCAAAAAGTTCATAGAAAAATACAGAATTAAAAGATAAGTTGATTTTAGTCAAAAAATTTTGAAATTCACTTTTTTCTGTAGTATACATTTTCCATGAGCTTTTTGGAGACCCCTTATATAATTTTTTTTATGTGTTGCTAGGTGTGTTTTGTTAAATCTGTCTTCATAATCCTCCTAATGTATATTTGTAGTTTTCTTTTTTCTTCCTGATTTTGCTGTCAGGGTTAATATTTGCCTCAGAATGAGTTAGGAAATGTTCTCACCTCTTCTATTTATTGGAAGATTTGGGAAGAAATGGTATGTATTCCTTTACTGTTTGATAGAATTCACCAGTAAAGCAATCTGGGCTTGGGCGTTTTTTTGTGGGTAATTTTTTAAAATAAATAAGTCAATTTTTTCCTTTCAAAATTTTTATTATTCTCACTTTATTTAAAAGGCAGAGAGACAGACCTTCCATCCACTGGTTCATTCCCCAGATGTCTACCGCATCCAGGGCTGGGCCAGCCTGAAGCCTGGAGCCGCATCTGGGTCTCCTATGTGGGTTGCTGGGACCCAAATACATGAGCCATCATCTGCTACCTCCCCGAGTGCACCTTCGCAGGAAGCTGGATTGGAAGTAGAGCAGCCAGGAATAAACCAGGCACTCCCAATACGGGAAACCTGCCCCTGCTTCAATTTGCTTACTTGCTGTGGATCTATATAGCTATAGGTCTGTTCTTTAAAAAAAAAATTATTTATTTATTTGAAAGAGTTACACAGAGAGAGAAAGAGAGGCAGAGAGAGAGAGAGAGATCTTCCATCTGCTGGTTTACTTCCCAGATGGCCACAACAGCCGGAACTATGCCAATCCGAAACCAGGAGCCAGGAGCTTCCTCAGGGTCTCCCACATGGGTGCAGGAGCCCAAGCACTTGGGCCATTCTCCACTGCTTTCCCAGGCCATAGCAGAGAGCTGGATCGGAAGTGGAGCAGCCAGGAACCAAACCAGCACCCATATGGGATGCCGGCACTGCAGGCAGCTGCTTTACCCACTACACCACAGTGCCGGCCCCAGGTCTGTTTCTTCTTAAGTCAGTTTTAGTAATTTGTGGCTTCCTGGGAATTTTTCACTTCAGTCTGATTGTCACCAAATAATTCATGCTATTTGCTTATAATCCTTTTTATCTTTTGAAGATCAGTGGTAATGCCCAGAGGGGGTCACTTTGCAGCTTAGCTTTTAAGTGCATGGTTACAGGGCACATAACAAGTGGGGAAGAGGGAGAACAACTCTGGAGGAGAAAAGGACATGGGCACTGAGAGGCAAGAAGAAATAAGATGTGTTTGGCCAGAGAGTCCAGGAGTATAGGAGAAACTGACAGCCTCAATTTAACTGCTTGTAACAGTTCTCATTTGTCAAAGCTTTCTTCATTATATAACCATTTATTTATTTATTTGAAAGGCAGAGTTACAGAGAGAGGGGGAAAGGCAGAAAAAGAGATCTTCATCTACTGGTTAACTCCCAAATGCCGCAACGCCCCGTGCTGGCCCCAACTGAAACCAGGATCCTGGAACTCCATCAGCGTTTCCCATATGGGTGTTAGGAGCCAAGGTACTTGGGCCATCTTCCACTGTTCTCCCAGGAGCATTAGCAGGGAAATAGATCGGAAATGGAGCAGCCAAGACCTGATCTGGCATCTCGGGGTGGCTTAATCCTGTAGGCCACAGCACAGCCCTGTTGCTTCATTATATAAAGAAAGAGAGCCCTCCTCTTCACAAGTGTCCTGCTTCACCTGTGAAACTGTGCCTTGATCCAGTCACTGTGGACAAGAAAACTGAAAAGCACTGGAACATGGCCCAAACGTTTGGGACACCGCCACCCACATGGGGGACATGGAAGAAGGTGCTGGCTCCTGACTTTGGCCTGGCCTAGACCCAGCCATTGTGGCCCTCTGGGGAATGAACCAGTGTATTGAAGATCTTCCCCTTTCTCTCTCTCTCTCTCTCTCTCTCTCTCTTCCTGACTTTCAAATAAATAAATCTTTAAAAAAAAAAATACAAGTTAAAAATAAACTGAAGTACTAATATTGGGTAGAACTAAGACACATACCTATCCCTGCAGCCAGTGGTTGGTAGTGTAGCTGGGAGCCCTGCCCGAGTCCCAGAGAAAGGGGCACTTGACATAACATTTGAGGCTGGCGCCATGGCTCAATAGGCTAATCCTCCGCCTGCGGCACCGGCACACTGGATTCTAGTTCCGGTCGGGGCGCCAGATTCTGTCCCGGTTGCTCCTCTTCCAGTCCAGCTCTTTGCTGTGGCCCGGGAGTGCAGTGGAGGATGTCCCAAGTCCTTGGGCCCTGCGCCTGCATGGGAGACCAGGAAAAGCACCTGGCTCCTGGCTTTGGATCAGCGTGGTGCATCGGCCGCAGCATGCTGGCCGCAGCAGCCATTGGGGGTGAACCAACAACAGAAAGGAAGACCTTTCTCTCTGTCTTTCTCACTGTCTACTCTGCCTCTCAAAAAAAAAAAAAAAAAAAAAAAAAAAAAAAAAAAAAACAAAAAAAAAACATTTGAGTGCCCTGACCTAAGAAGCTTGAGTCAAGAGTTATTGACTGTTTCCCATCCTTACCTTCTCATGAACTTGACATTGATGATGAAATAAAAATAGTTATATTCCTTTTCTCTTTTTGTCTCTAGGTAGAAGAAAATTATTATATTCAAAGAGTAGATATTGTATTATTCACATTAATTATTAGACAATTTGGGGAGCTGGCTCATCATTTTCCTCATACTTGGATAGCTCAGAGTAGTCTTCCAAAACGTTTTCATAAAAATAATCTTATGTTTTGAAACATTTGCAAGTGTTCAAGTAGAAAGGGACCTTGGAGATAGCTAGTTAAGCCTCATCATTTCACCCATGTTTTCATGTTTTTTATTCCTTCTCTGTTTTCTCCTTTTCATTCTGTACTTCTCTTATGTCTAATTAAGACAAGTCTAACACAGACCTGTCGTTTGTGAAATGAATTTCAAATTTTCTATTTCTGAAGGAGTAGTAGTTTTATATAGAGTCTAAGAACTAAGTTGCTTTTTTAAGGGATTTTTTTTCTGTAGGTTAATTGCATTCGACTAATTAAAAAGATTTCATAATTTGGCTCTTCAAAAATTAAAAATTGCCTTTCAGAGTCGTTAAGTGTATTTCCTCTCCTTTGAAGTTCTCATCTTCCTAACATGAGAAAACAGAGAATTCTTTCTGAGCCAAATGGTTCTTTGTGTTCTACCCAACTTCCTAGGCCTGAGCCACCTAGTTAAAATCCCATGTTCTCTCTGGTTCTTTCTTGCATTTAAATTTTCAGCTTCGTTTTTATTTTTCCTTCTGCTTCTTGATTGTAAAGTGCTTAGATGTCTGATTTGTATGTTAATCTATTTACAACATCCTGTCAGTATAGTATTCTCCTTTGTACCTTCATTCAATCAGAAGTTTCTCCTTTTTGTATGTGCATAAAAATGTATCCATTTAGCATGTTTTAAATTCATTTGAAGATCCTGTTTTCACAGACATAGGAACATGGTAACATTTTCATTTTGAATTCCTTTTACCAGAGTGGGAGAGCATGGTGGAAGATGGGGAGGTGACATCCAAGCCCAGTGTTTCCCAGAGAGCAGACTCTCAGAAAGGCACTTCAAAAAGACTCCATGCAGATGCTCCCCAGGCCCTGGAGCCTGAGGCAGCGTGTGAATGGCAGGCCTTGGCAAGGCAGTGGGAAAACGAAGCGGAGCAAAGGGTAGACACAGTGAAGAAAGTTCCCCTCTGTGCCCGAGACAAGAGGAAAAGGACTCCTTCAGAACAACGCCAAAGGTGGAAGGAATTTGGAGAAAGCTCGACTTTGGGGTCAGCTGTCCCTGAAAGTTTAGTGGATACTGAGGGAAAAAAGCTTTATAAATGTGATATGTGTTGTAAACATTTCAATAAAATCTCCCATCTTATAAACCACCGGCGAATCCACACTGGGGAGAAGCCGCATAAATGTAAGGAGTGTGGGAAAGGCTTTATCCAGCGCTCTAGCCTTCTGATGCATTTACGGAACCATTCTGGGGAGAAACCTTATAAATGCAACGAATGCGGCAAAGCGTTCTCTCAGAGCGCCTACCTTCTGAACCATCAGAGAATCCACACGGGGGAGAAACCGTACAAGTGTAAGGAGTGTGGGAAGGGTTTCTATCGGCACTCCGGCCTTATTATACATCTGCGACGCCATTCCGGGGAGAGACCTTACAAGTGTAATGAGTGTGGCAAAGTTTTCTCTCAGAATGCTTACCTCATCGACCACCAAAGGCTTCACAAAGGGGAAGAGCCCTATAAGTGTAACAAGTGTCAGAAGGCTTTCATTCTGAAGAAGAGCCTCATTCTGCACCAGAGAATCCACTCTGGGGAGAAGCCCCATAAGTGCGACGAATGTGGGAAAACCTTTGCTCAGACCACTTACCTCGTTGACCATCAGCGACTGCACAGTGCGGAGAACCCTTACAAATGCAAGGAATGTGGGAAGGTCTTCATCAGGAGTAAAAGCCTCCTCTTACACCAGAGAGTCCACACAGAAAAGAAAACCTTCGGTTGCAAAAAGTGCGGGAAGATTTTCACTTCGAAGTCCAGCCTCATCGAGCACAAGAGGATGCACAGCAGAGAGAAGCCTTACAGGTGCACCGAGTGTGGGAAAGCCTTCACTCAGAGCGCTTACCTCTTTGACCACCAGAGACTCCACAACGGGGAGAAGCCCTACGAGTGTAACGAGTGCGGCAAGGTGTTTATCCTGAAGAAGAGCCTCATTTTACATCAGAGGTTCCACACCGGAGAGAACCTCTATGAATGCAAAGACTGTGGCAAGGTTTTTGGTTCTAACAGAAACCTCATTGACCACGAGAGGCTGCACAATGGAGAGAAGCCCTATGAATGTCGAGAGTGTGGGAAAACCTTTATCATGAGCAAAAGTTTCATGGTCCATCAGAAGCTGCACACACAGGAGAAGGCCTACAAATGTGAGGACTGTGGGAAGGCCTTCAGTTACAACTCCAGCCTGCTTGTGCATCGGAGGATCCACACCGGCGAGAAGCCCTTTGAGTGCACTGAGTGTGGAAGAGCTTTCAGTTCCAACCGGAACCTTATCGAGCATAAGAGAATCCACAGCGGTGAGAAGCCCTATGAGTGTAACGAGTGTGGCAAATGCTTCATTCTCAAGAAGAGCCTCATTGGGCATCAGAGGATTCACACGAGGGAGAAATCTTACAAATGCAGTGACTGTGGCAAAGTCTTCAGCTACCGCTCAAACCTTATAGCCCATCAGAGAATCCACACTGGTGAGAAACCCTACACGTGTAATGAGTGTGGGAAAGGCTTTACTTATAACAGAAACCTTATTGAACATCAAAGAATTCATAGCGGGGAAAAGACCTATGAATGTCATATATGTAGAAAAGTCCTTACCTCTAGTAGAAATCTTACGGTGCATCAAAGAATCCACACTGGAGAGAAACCATATAAATGCAATGAGTGTGGGAAAGACTTTAGTCAGAATAAAAACCTCGTTGTACATCAGAGAATGCACACTGGGGAAAAGCCTTATGAGTGTGAGAAGTGTAGGAAATCCTTTACTTCTAAGAGGAATTTGATTGGCCACCAGAGAATCCACACAGGGGAGAAACCCTATGGGTGTAATGATTGCAATAAAGTTTTTAGACAAAGAAAAAACCTTACTGTACATCAGAAAATTCATACAGATGGAAAGTCCTGTGAGCGTGATGAGTCAGAAAAAGAATTCTGTCCGACTGCAAATCTACATCCTCAACAAAAAATCCACACTGTGGAAGAATTCTCTTGGCTACAGAATACCAGTGAGTCTAAGATAAAGATTCAGAAAATTTAGTGTCGTAGGTAAAATGGAATATAGTCCCTGCCTACTGAAGGAACTGTGAGAGGAATAACTTACAGGGAAAAACACTCATGACCCTTTTTTATGTGCAAGTGAGTTGCATGTAGAAGAAAGTTAATCTAGACTTTCAGGTCTACAGAAACAATACAATTTCTGGTTAAAGGCTACTCCGTTCCTGACCATCTGTTATGAACTTAGAAAGAGACCTTGGAGCAACTAAGGACTCCAAAAAAACTGACCTGTGTCTTACAAGATGTCTTGATGTCATTACTAACAAATGGATGTTGTTTCTGAAATATGTGTAGTGTATGTTTTAAATATATCATCACTGCTACAGAAAGTCTGTTTAGACAATATGATCCAGACATGTCCAGTGGAGTTCAGTGGTCAAGAGCCTATTTTTGGAGGACAGCCCCAAATCACTGGTTTCAGAGTCAGGAGACCTAGGTTTGGTTCTGGCTCTGTCCCCAGCTAGCTGTGTAACATTACTAACTAGCCTCGAAGACTCGGTTTGAGTCAGTCACATGATGACATATGCCTACCTCACAGGGTTGTTGTGAGGGCTAAGTGGAAGAATCTGTGTGAAAGTGTTTTATGAAATAGCCAGTTGTCAATAAAGTTGGATAAGAGGTATTGTCAAAAGCTAAAACATGGCATAACGTTAGTTTATGCACTGAGTCAGTATTAGAATGAGGGGGATTCCATGAAACTCAAAGTTGTTCATTTTGTAAGAGAAAGTATGGTGGATAAGTAAATTTGTAATTTAATAATTTGAGACAGGTTTTAAAATACAGCTTTAAAATGTCTAAAGGTGTTAGTAGATTATATACCTAGTTTGTTTTTAAGGACAAATTTGATTAGCCTACGTTCTTGAGTTCATAATTTTACATTGTAATTCCCAGAACTCCAGTTCTGGAATACACAAATAACAGAATGATGTTTTTCAAAGTGGAGTGTTGAGAGCTTGGTACCTGATGAGAATAAAAAGTATCCAGGAGAGAAGACCAAGGGACCAAGCCTTAAAACCTGGGAATGTGTCAGGTTCTGCCACTTGTTTTGAACAAATTCCCTCACTTCTTGGAACCTTGAATTCCTCTGCTAAACAGGAGGAAGAATATCTACCTCACAGAGTTGGTAATAGGATGTGAATATGGGGCTGGTGTTCTAGCACAGCAGGTTAAGCAGCCACCTGTGACACTGACATCCTGTGTTAGAGCATTGGTTTGAGTCCCAGCTGCTCTGTTCTGCTTCTAATCCAGCTCCCTGCTCATGTGCCTGGGAAGACAGTGGAAGATAGTCCAAGTACTCGGGCCTCTTCCCTGCCGTGTGGAAGATCTGAATGGTGCCTTGGCTCCTGACTTTTCACCTGGGCCAGGCGTGACAGTTGAGGCCATTTGGAAGATCTCTGTTTCTCTCTCTCTCTCTCTCTCCCTCTCTCTCTCTGCCTTTCAAATAAATAAGCAAATGAATGAATAAATCCTTTTTAAAGAGAGGTAATGACTATAAAAATGCTTCATATCCATGCTGCAGAAGAATCATGCGATAGCTTATAATAATTACAAAGCAACAGGCCGGCGCCGCGGCTCACTAGGCTAATCCTCCGCCTTGCGGCGCTGGCACACTGGGTTCTAGTCCCAGTCGGGGCGCCGGATTCTGTCCCGGCTGCCCCTCTTCCAGGCCAGCTCTCTGCTGTGGCCCGGGAGTGCAGTGGAGGATGGCCCAAGTGCTTGGGCCCTGCACCCCATGAGAGACCAGGATAAGTACCTGGCTCCTGCCATCGGATCAGCGCGGCGTGCCGGCTGCGGCGGCCATTGGAGGGTAAGGAAGACCTTTCTCTCTGTATCTCTCTCTCACTGTCCACTCTGCCTGTCAAAAAAAAAAAAAAAAAGCAACATACATACTTTAACAATGGAGAAAGCTGGTGTTGCCCATGACAGAATGTTGCATTGCTAAAACAGCCACAGAATATGTCTCATTGTGTGATGTAATAAGCCAAAAAATGTTTAAGTTATATTTAATCAACTTTAGACCTAGACCTACTTGCCAGTTTACAGGAAATACTGGAGGCAGAGGAACAAGATGAAAGATTCCGTGAGAAACAGACAAATCCAGGTCATGGTATAAAGAAACCCTCCCTGGATTCTTCAGACAGTCATGGTAAGAAAGAAGGATGTGTCCTTTGTTGAGGCTGGACAAGTGAGTGGGGAGTTCACTGTACTGTTGGCTACTTTTATGTGTGTATGAAATTTTCCATAATAAAAGGTATAAAAACTGGATGAGGGGGTTGATCTTATGAGTTACAAAAGAATCATAGGATACTAAGCACCAGAAATAGACAAACGAATGCCCCCATTAATTTCCAGTTGGTGCAAAAGCAATGCTGTATTGCCTTTTCAACAAATGCTGCTGGAGCAAATGTATATCCATAGAGAAAAACGAAAACAATGACATGACCTAGGGTTAAGCAGAGAACTCTTAGGTGACATCAAAAGCGTACTCCATAGAAGAAAAAATAAATGGAGCACCATCAAAATTAAGATAGTTTGCTCTACAAAAGATCCTCCTAGGGGCCAGTGCCACGGCACCAGCATCCCATGTGGGCACCAGTTCTAGTCCCAGCTGCTCCTCTTCCAACCCAGCTCTCTGCGATGGCCCAGGTGCTTGGGCCCCTGCACCCGTGTGGGAGATGGGGAGGAAGCTCCTGGCTCCTGGCTTTGGATCGGCACAGCTCCGGGTGTTGCGGCCATTTGGGGAGTGAACCAACAGAAGGAAGAGCTTTCTCTCTGTCTCTTCCTCTTACTGTCTATAACTCTACCTCTCAAGTAAATAAAATCTTAAAAAAAAAAAAATCCTCCTAAAGATAAAAAGACAATACAGACTGGGAGAAAATATTTGTATATCATATATCCAACAAAGGATTTATATCTAGACCACATGAAGAACTGTCAAAACCTAACAGTTGAAGGGGAGAGGGAGTGGGAGAGGGGAGTGTTGTGGGTGGGAGGGAAGTTATGGGGGGGGGAAGCTATTGTAATCCATAATTGGAAATTTTCCATAATTGGAAAATTTCCATAATTTCCATAATTTCCATAATTGGAAATTTATGTTCATTAAATAAAAATTAAAAAAAAAAAACTAACAGTTAAAAACTCCAATTTGACAACAGTGAGCAAAAGACATGAACAAACATTTCACCAAAGTATAGATGGCAAAGTAGTAAATGACAAGATGTTTGATATCATTTGTCATTAGGAATTTGTGAATTAATATGATATAACCACTATAAACCTTTCAGAATAGCTTTTAAAAAAGTGATAACAGCAATGCTGGCAAGAATACAGAGAAACTGGATCTTATATATTGCTGGGGATGTAAGATGGTGCAGCCACTCGGGGAAATAGATTATTAGTTTCTCATGAAACCAGTCATGCACTTTACGCCACACAAAAACCTGTGCATGAATGTTCATAGCAGCTTTTATTGTAAGTTAAAACCTGTAGTCAACCCAGCTAACCTTCATCAGGTGGTCAAAACAAACTACTGTCTGTCTGCACCATGGACACAATGGAATACTTACTACTTTGCAATACAATGAAACAACCTATTGACAGCTACATGACTTAAATGAATTTTAAGGGAATTAAAGCTGAGTAAAAATGCCAATCCCAAAAAGTCCTACGATTCCATTCAGAAAACATTCTCAAGCTGCTGAAACTGAAGAGAGGAGAGACGAATTAGCGGTTGCCAGAGGTCAGGGGTGGTGGGATGATGAGACAGTTGGGCATCTGGCGGTGATTACACACATCTACCCACGTCGTCAGGTGACACGGAGGTGTCCACGCACAGGATCAATGTCTCTTTCCTGATTGCCATGTTACAATTCTGCACAACGTAACCCTTGGGGCAGATGGGGCGAAGGGTATTGTTTGCAGCTTCCTGTGACTCTGTCATTACAAAATAAAAAGTAAACAAGACTGGGCCAGAGCTGTGATGTAGCCTCTGCCTGTGGTGTCAGCATCCCATGTGGGCACCGGTTTGAGTCCTGGCTGCTCCACTTCAATCCAGCTCCCTGCTAGTGCACTTGGGAAAACAGCAGACGACGGCACAAGTTCTTGGGCTCCTGCACCCCTGTGGGACACCCGGAAGAAGCTCCTGGCTCCTGGCTTCTGTCTAGCCCAGCCCCAACCGTTGTGGTCATCTGGGGAGTGAACCAGCGGATGGAAGAAACTCCTTTCTCTCTCTCTCTCTCTCTGCCCCTATACCTCTGCCTTTCAAATAAACAGATCTTTAGACGGAAACGATACTAAAGAACAATAGCCACATACAGTGTTGTCAAGCTGATGTGGGGGGTAGTTATCGAATCTGTGTTAGGTTGGGGAAATCTGAACGTGTCTGGACACTGGGTGGTCTTGTTATTTCCTTACCTGCGATGGTGATGGTGTTAGTTTGGAGAATATTATTAAGGGATGCGTGTTCAGCTATTCGGAATGAAATATCCTGGGGTTTACAAGTTTCCCATACATGTGTTCGCGTACGTACAGACAGGGCAAACGTGGAGAAGCCGTCACTGTCGCGTTCCCGTGGAGGACATGGGTGTTCACTGTTCCCTGCTTTCACCTTTTCTGTACCGTTTGGTATTTTCAAAATAAAACGTTCGGGGGAACCTATCAGGACTTTTCTACAGACGGATGTTGTGCAGCACGAGGACCCCCGGCGAGCGCGCTCTGGGCGCCCCCTGCCCGGCCTGGCACGCCCCCCTCGGAGGCCGAGGGGCTGCTCCCATCGCTCCGCCCCCAGCCCAGGTCCGGAGCAATGTTGGACTCCCATCGAGAAGAAAGCACCTCCGAGATTCCTAGAGAGGCCGGCCTGGCGACTCGGGGAGCCGGAAGCCCACCCCGCGGCACTTCCTGTCCGGTCATTGTTCTCGCGCCGGTGGGAGCGGGGGTCCCGGGCGGTCAGCGCCCCGGTCCGGCGCGGGCGCGTTCCGCCGGGTCCTCTCCGTGGCCAGGGTGAGTGGGCGCGGGCGCGGCGCCAGAGGCGGAGGCCGTCCTGGGCGGCCCGCTGCGCCCTTCCCTGCGGGACACGGGCTGCCCCCCGGATGTCCGTGCCCCGCCGCCCCGGCGTCCCAGCTGCGGCCGGCGCGGGCCTGGCCCGGGGGAGCGGGGCTGCGGACGGCCGGGCGGAGCGGGGGGACTGCGGCGTTTGGAGACGGGGAGAGGACTTGGGCGAGGGGAGCCCCTGGTGGGGAGCTGTGCGTCCCCCGGGGCTGGGGTCCTCGCGACTCTGATGGGAGCCCCGATGTTAGAGCTCCCCTGGCCAGTCTGGCCGTGACCGCCGGCTGGAACGGCCCGAGGGCCTTGCAGCCCGGTGGACTCGAAAGCACAGTGCTCCAGAATGGAGTTGTCGGGGGAACAAACGCAGCGCGTTACTCGGAGAATTCATTGTGCACAGCAAATCCGCAGTAAGCGGTCGTAGGAAAAATAACAGGAGGGCCTGGGGAACCACGAGAGCGGATTTAGCCGACAGAAAGTCCGGGGAGGAGTGGAAGGGAGATTTTCCATCTCTGCTGCATCAGCCAAAGCCGTAGGGTTGTGTTACAGCCGCGATAAGGAGGGGACGGTCGTTAGTGGTGGTGTGACTCGGTGTGCTGTTTTTGGAAAGCTGTTTAACAGCACACATCAACCATAAAAGCATTGACCCAATTACCACCACTCTTGTTTTAAAGGAGTAATGTAGCAAAAGAAATTTGCGCAGGAAAAAAAACTTTTTAAACAATTTTTATCAGGAAAATAAACCAGAAAGTCAAATCTCCTTTAGCTAGAGGAATGGTTCATCCATAGGAAATGCTGCAGTAAATGGTAATGGACCATGGTTTAGAACACTGTGCCACAGGGAGGTAGCCCCACGTGTGCTGTATGATGAAAGGTTGCTAAGAATACTGTGAAACGTGGAAACTGGCTGCAAACCAAATAGTGCAGATTGTGAATGGTATACAAGTGTGGTCTGAAGTATGTCTTTTTTTTTTGACAGGCAGAGTTAGAAAGACAGAGAGAAAGGTCTTCGTTCCGTTGGTTCACCCCCCAAATGGCCGCTACGGCCGGCGCACCGTGCTGATCCGAAGCCAGGAGCCAGGTGCTTCCTCCTGGTCTCTCGCAAGGGTGCAGGGCCCAAGCACTTGGGCCATCCTCCACTGCACTCCCGGGCCACAGCAGAGAACTGGCCTGGAAGAGGAGCAACCGGGACAGAATCCGGTGCCCTTCCTGGGACTAGAACCTGGGGTGCTGGTGCTGCTGGCAGAGGATTAGCCAAGCGAGCCACGGTGCCGGCCCTACACATATTATTTTTCAAAAACATACTGCAGGCTGGTACCACAGCTCACTAGGCTAATCCTCCGCCTGCGGCACTGGCACACCAGGGTTCTAGTCCCAGTCAGGGTGCTGGATTCTGTCCCGGTTGCTCCTCTTCCAGGCCAGCTCTCTGCTGTGGCCCGGGAGTGCAGTGGAGGATGGCCCAAGTTTGGGTCCTGCACCAAGTACGAGAGGGTCACGCGGAAGCACCTGGCTCCTGGCTTCGGATCAGCACGGTGCGCCGGCCGTAGCGGCCATTTGGGGGGTGAACCAATGGAAGGAAGATCTTTCTGTCTGTCACTAACTCTGCCTTTAAAAAAAAAAAAAAATGCAGAGAAGAGGCTCAATCCGCACAGTGGGTGTGACATTTATTTAGTTTTATGTTTCTGTTATTTGATTACTGCAGTGAAATTTTATCAGCATCTCAAGTTATTCTATAAGAGATTTAAAAAATTAAGAATACAACAAAATTATCTTTTTTGTTCTTTTTTTAAAAGATTTATTTATTTATTTTAAATGGTAGAGGTACGGGAAGAGAGAGAGAGAGTCTTCCATCTGCTGGTTCACTCCCCAATTGGCTGCAACGGCCAGGGCTGGGCCGATCCGAAGCCAGGAGCCAGAAGCTTCTGGGTCTCCCACGTGGGTGCAGGGGGCCCAAGGACATGGGCCATCCTCCACAGCTTTCCCAGGCCATAGCAGAGAGCTGTATTGTAAGTGAAGCAGCCGGAACTTGAACCAGCGCCCATATGGGATGCCGGCACAGCAGGAGGCAGCTTTACGCACTATGCCATAGCACAGCCCCTTGTTTTTGCCTTGAGAGTAGCTCTTGGTGTCATTGGACATTTGGAGGATAGGGAGATGTACAACTCTAAGAAACCAGAACCTCAAAGCTGTTTGTGATTACCCCATCTGGAGGTTAACCACCCATTCCTATTATGTTGGTATGGACTTCTGGTCTTTTTCCTCGGCGTCTTTTGTTCACCCTATTTTGTGTCCGTGGCAATAGTCTTTGTATTCTAATATCCCTTTTAAAAAAACTATTATGATGACAGTTATGAAAGTATGTATTCCTGTGGTCAAAAACAAAATGTAAAATCACAATGATGGTTTGTGAGTTTTTCCTTGAAAGGAATATCCTAAATTCTACAGACATATTATACACTGGTTATCTCTTTAGAGGAAGAGCAAGGATGAGTTTTTCTTCATTGCTTTCTGTATTTTTCCAAGTGTTTACATTAAAAAATGTTAACTTTGAAGCAGAAGATCAGTAGGCATTACTTATGGGTGCTGGCAGCGTGGTGATTGTGTTACCAGATGTCGTCTGTCCAGCCCGAGGCCTTCCATCCTGTGAGCGAGGATGAGAGTGTTCCCTGCGCTCCGGAGGCGGCTGACCAGGCCCCGGAATGTTGGCCTCTGGGCTTGGGCGTCCTGGAAGCCTCTGCTCCGCGCTGACAGTGCGTTCTGCTTTCTCAGTGCACCCTGTTGATCGTGGTCCTGGGAAG